AAAATAATTTTGAGCTTCTAAAGGCAATTATAACATGATGTTGACCCGGGTCAAACCCGGGTCAATTAAATCATGACGTTCGGGTCGACCCGACTCGTTTCGGAGCTCTAGTCCTGAATTTGAAGGATCTGATAAAGATTTTGAAATACCAAAATCACAAAGTTTGATATTTTCATTATGAATAAGAACATTCCTGGAATGCTGGAAAAAAATTTATTAAATATAAAAATTAATTAATTAAAGATAAAACAATTATTAAATTATTAAATATTTAGACGCATACCAAATCCCTATGGATCATACCATTGTCATGTAGACATTTTATAGCACTTGCAATTTGTCTCACAAATTTTAATTTAATATTCCAATCCATTCTACTAAACTTTTTTTTAAATAATCAGATAAGTTATTACTAGTAGCATATTCTATTACTAGTGTTATGCAGTTATTAATATGAGCTGTGTCATCTTTAATATAATAATAATATTATTAATAAATTTGTTATGGTGGCTCAGTCTAAAGACCTCCCATTGCTGCGCCACGCGCTCAAATTTCAAAAATTGCAATTTCGTGATTCGTTCAAAAGTGCATAAAAAAGGGGTTACACGTGATTTTGGTTAAAAAACTATTTTCCTTACTGCCAAATTTAGATATGATGGTCGAGACTTAGGCTACATTTAGTAATGATGATAAAAAAAACTAGTCTAAATTTAGCAATGATCCTAGTGCTCAAATTTCTCATGAGCGTAGTAAAGTACATGTATTAAAAAAGAATAAAACTCTACAACAAATAATTTTTTGGAGAAAATCTCATTAAATTAAAAGTAGAAATCTATTTTACCAACTAATGAGGCTATTTTTTTAAAAGGTAGGACAGAAAATGACTTCTATACTTTTAAAATTTGCCCAAAATTTAGACCAAGCCAACTATAGGTGTAAAAAGAGTTGAAGAGAAGGCATTTGACATATATACAAATTTATTATTGTTAAATTGTAAAGAAAGTAAAATTATTTACTACTTTCTTGGAATGTGTTATCAATGTGGAACTGATATAAAAAAGGAATATTGTGAGACTTTTTAAAGTCAGCTGAAGAGAAAAATAGTAATGGACAATATAGACTTGGATTTTGTTATCAACATGAAATTGGTACAAAAAGAAATTATAATAAGGCTTTGCAATGGTATTTAAAATGTGCAGAAAATCAAAATAATATAATATTGGATGTTGTTATCAATTTGGAATTGGTATACAATAAGATTATGAAGAGGCTTTTGAATGGTATTTAAAATCAGCTAATCATGTAACTCATATTTTAATGAATTATACAACCCAGAATAATACAAACTCAATTGAATTATTTGATTATATGCAAGGTTGTGATTATGATTTTAATGTAAGCCTTATGCTGGGGGTTTTTTTACCAATGTGGAATAGGTACCAAAATAGATGCAAAAATAGCATTTAATATATACCCGAATTTATCAAGTTATGATGTAAAAGATAAAATTGTTGGCTATTTACTTGGATATTGTTATCATCATGGAATTGGCATACAACAAGATCTTAATCAGGCCTTTCAATGGTACTTAAAATCAGCTGAAAATGGAAATAGCAATGCTCAATGCAGTGTTGGACGTTGTTATCATTATGAAATTGATGCAAAGAAGGATTATGATAAAGCTTTTGAATGGTATTTGAAATCAGCTGAAAATGGGAATGGAGGTGCCCAATTCATTGTTGGGTTTTGTTGTCATTATGTAATTGGTGTAGAAAATAATTATGATAAGGCATTTGAATGGTATTTAAAATCAGCAGAAAAGGAAAATATTAATGGTCAATATAGTGTTGGATATTGTTACCATTATGGAATTGGTACAGAAAAAAATTATAATAAAGCTTTTCAGTGGTATCTAATGTCAGCTGAAAACATGAATAGTAATGGTCAAAATAGTATTGGATATTGCTATGAAAATAAAATTGGCACAGTAAGAGATGTTGATAAAGCTGCTAAATGGTATTGAATGGCTTCAAGGCATGAGCATTCAAATTCAAATATTATAACTTTTTAAGTTTTTTGATTCATACATTTATGACTACCTTTTATGTCTTGAGTCAATCATGTATAAATAACATTTTTATTAGTGTGCTTATTATTATCCCAATATGTAATAAATAATATGTATGTATGTGTTGCTCTAGCACAATTACCTTTATGTCTAAAGAAATAAATGAAAAAGAATAAGAAGTGTAATTGAATCATTAATTTTTGCACACCTTGGTAAAAAATATGTATACTTTTTGGAATTTTTACCTCTTATTTAAATCTTGCAATCTGCTGGATTAACTAGGTTATTTTTGACCAAGCAAAGCTTTCAAAGGAAGGTATGTTCTTGCAAAACATTCTTTGTTATTACAATGTATTTTAGTCATGTTACTTATGCCTGCTATGCTACTATTATTATGTTATGCGCCTTAAATTTTGTTTCTCATCTAATTTTTGATAGGAGGATCTTATTTTGCCTAAACATAAACAACTTATCAATATAAAAAAAGGTGCATTAGTTTTTTTGTACCGATATTCCTCTTTTTTTTTTTTTTACTTTAAAACAATTGAAAATTTCTGTTTCACAATATAAAAAAGATCGACGTTCAATTTTGTCACTTTTCTATATTTCGCCCTTGATCGGCCTCTTTCTTTAGTATTTATTGGATATTTATATATTTTGCCTTTAATTGGCCTCTCCCTAATAATTTAATAACATATTCCATTATTCTTCTCTTTGATCCGTGAGACAAGCCAATCATTAATATAATATAATTGACCTCCCCCTCGCACAATTCAAACCAAGCATATACATGTTCCGTATTCCGTACATCTGCGCCTCTGTAGTATTTACCCCTTGATTTTATTAATTAAAATTCTCGTTTCAACGGATTTTATATTTAAATCGCGTTTCAACGGACAACGGATTTTTTGGTAGGACTTTAGTAATAGTAATAGTAATAGTAATAAGTACTAATCGCGTTACAACGGATTCACGTGATATAGATTTTATAATAAAAAAAACCACATTAACTATGTTAAGATTAATTCATTGCTAAATAATAATATAAACAAATTGAATGATTCTCAAAAATATCAATATGATTTTACATGAATAAGAATAATTCTCACATTACTAAAATAATAATATTAATTACCATTAATCAAAATTTTCCATATTTCCAAATAATGATTTTACATGAATAATTAAACACACATTACTAAATAATAATATTAATCAAAATTTTCCATATTTCCAAATAATGATTTTACACAAATAATTAAACACATCACTAAATAATAATATTAATTAAAATTTCCATATTTCTAAACTGATAATAAATAAATATCTTCTAATAATTCTACATAATCAACATTTTCTTTGATTTCTTTAAATTAAT